TGTGTATATATATGTATATGTATATGTATATATATATATATATATATATATATATATTATACACGCATACAATTTTTTTGCATTAAAATAGTGATCATTGGTAAGGTAAACGGTTAATTGTCTAAATATTATGATGCACAAAATTCAGCAAATTTCTCGGCATAAAAACGTTACGCAAAATATTTGTTCTTATTTCTTTATTACGGGATGGAATATGACCGACATGTTTCGTGAGATTGTGAACCTGTTGTTGTTGTTGAACACTATATAGCTGCTTCGAATACTTCTGTAGTCAACCTGGTGTAAGTGTTAATGAATGAAAGAATGTAAATATTCCCACTCATGCACACAGGAAGTGATGTCATCGGTGAAGTCATGATGCTGATCCATGTGACGTGTGAGCGCTTCGATCAGGATCGCGTCAGAAAGGCTTGGTGCATGAAATAAAATGAAAGAAAAGTCACAGTCGTTTATGAACGCTAGTCTTTTTTTCATCCAACTAAACTGATGCACCAAAATCCCCAAAGATGCATCAAGCCAGCCAGAGTTTTTTTTGTTTTTTAATAATTTCTGTATTTTTGTATGTGCTAGACATTCAGGGATGCATTCAGGCGTCTAGGTTGTACAAATCCTGCATGTTGACTGCATGTGAATGCATGAGAGCGTTAGAGAAACACTTCAGCTCTTCTGCTGTGAAAACCAATCAGACTTGAGATTTGATGGCTGTCAATTAATTTCCAAAAGTAAGTTCATTTTTATAGGCTACGGCCAAAAAAACATCACCATGTAAAATACTGTTTTATTATTTGTGCAATTATGCACGTGCATAATAAATGCTCAGTTTACTTCTAATTGTTATGAGGAAGCAACAGATTTGTATTTTCTATTATAGCAAAATTCTCAGTTTTATTTTAATTTAATAATAAAAAAAATATGGTTGCCATATATTTTTTATTTTTATGTCTCTCTCACTAATCTTTATTTGTACATCTATCTATATTCATATTAATAATTTATATGCAAGTAAATAAAATTATAATATTATTTTGAAACATTATTATATAATTAATATTGTATTCGTAGTATTATATTTTATATTTATATATATATTTTATATTTCTTCATTTTAGGTTTAATATTATGATATGTACACAAATAAAATTATAATATAATTATGTAATATATTAATATTATTTTGAACAATATAATATTAATATAATTACTATTTTAATATTAGTAGTAAGACATTATTAATTCTATTTAATATTTATATTATATTTTTATATTTATTTTATATTTATAATTTATGAAATGCAAATACATTTATAATATTGTAATATTTAATTATACCATTTTTAAATAATGTGATATGAATATAATATTTATTTATACAATATCCCAGTAGCAATCAGATATTTTATGCAGCCAAAATACTGTTGTTACAATAAATGTGTTCGGTTTGCTTCTCATTGTTATGAGCAAGCAACGGATATGTTTTGTATATTTGTATGATAGCAAAATGCTCCGTTTTATTTTTAATTTAATAAAAAAAAACATCTGGTCACCCTATCTATCTATATCTATATTTATATATGTTTATCTAATATTTATCTGTACATTTATCTATATTTATGTTCATAATTTATGTAAATAAATACAATTAATATTATTGTTAAACTATGTTAATATGATATTATTAATATAATAATTATAATATTTTATATTAATAATAGTTATTGTATATAATATCCCAGTAGCAGTGGTGTATGTTAGGTTTGGTCTCCAGGGCAGTGGGGGGCAGTAGTGAGTCGCTCATCCTCTCTTCCACACACAGTGGCGGGTGACAGGTTGCGTGTGGACTGGAGCCCAAGGAGTTCCTGCTCTGACCTGGCGCTCTTGGGCAACACACGGACCAGTTTGGCGCGCGGCCTGGGCACGACATTTGGGCGCTCGGACCGTTACCTCAAGGTGCCTAAGTTTGCTCTCAATCTGTTCCATGTCCATTTTTACTTCACAGCGTCCGGAAACGGCGCTCGCGCTTTCCTTCCTCTCTTGTCAGTGTTTGTGCCGCTCCTCAAAAAGTCTTAAAGAGACAGTACATCCAAAGTCTTAAAGAGACAGTACATTTCTTCACTAGAACAGGAAAGATTTTTAGCTGAAATCGTGCTCCTTGGTGACTGATAAAATGAAAGTCAATGGGTACCGGCACTTCAAGAGTCAAAAAAGCATATCAGGCAACACAAAATTAATACCTCTGACAACTGACGATATATTGAGGTCTTATGAAGTGAAACGATTGGCCTGTGCAAGAAAGTATCTCTTTAAATTTGTTTTGATCAAATTTAAGGCCATAAAAGTCTTGTAGTGTATAACAAAAGTCTTAATTATTTTAAGAGGTCTTAAATATGGGGACGTAAAAGCAGAGTCGCCGTGATACGAATATGTGATTTATTCAACTTTAAAAGGCTGTGATTCGATTAAATAAATGCGAGCGCTGCAGGTTTTAAAATCAAACCGTGCTGTTGCGTGTTCAACAGGGTTGCCGTTTCAGAGCAGTCCGCAGTCAGTGAATGCTGCACATTTATGCCTCACGACTGCTTATGATGCACCTAAAGCATAGCCATTTCAAAATAAGAGTCCCTGTGTATTTCAGCCTTGTTTAAGATTAAAAGACCATCATTATGCATTTTTTTTTATCATTATTGGTATTTGGTTCCCGTGTTTCTCTCATCTTTTTGAATGAGCAGCTAGAAGTAGCTAAGTATATACATTTCAAAATAAGAGTCCCGGTGTATTTAATGCTTGTTTAAGATTAAAAGCCTGTCATTTTGCATAAACTTTGTTTGGTTAATATTGGTATTTTGGTTCCCATATTTCACTAATCTTTTCATCAAAACAAGAGTCCTGGTGTATTTTGGGATTGTTTATAATTTAAAAGTACCTCAAAATGCATAAAGTGATTGTGTGTGTGTGTGTGTGACCCATATTTCTCATCTTTTTGAATGAGCATCCGGAAGTAGTAGAGAATATACATTTCAAAATAAGAGTCCTGGTGTATTTTGGGATTGTTTATAATTTAAAAGTACCTCAAAATGCATAAAGTGATTGTGTGTGTGTGTGTG